CCAGTAGCGCTTACACTCCAGTCTCATCTAAAAAGTAGGTTGGAAAGGGAACTGCATATGTCTGCAGGAGAGCCTTCAAGAACCTGTTTCTCAAAAAGGGGTTGAGAAACTGCTTAGCAATCCTTCCTCCCCCCCCCCATTGACAAGCTGAACCAACAAATGTTGCAAGCAAACCAATTGGCAAGGGCATAAATTCGGCTCACAAATGGTTTAATGCATTAAATCAATTTGTTAAAATCATATTTTAACAAGATTTAATTCCTGGGACATTAGATTAGCACCACGAGACTCCAATTCCATAGGTCAAGGACAGGGCCTGATTTGCTCTTTCAGAGTCACCTCTGTTTTGATTTGGACCTGACCCAACCCAATGTGGACCAGAAGCCAAAACAAAATTCAGAACTACATTTTTGTGCTGCCCACTGATTTGAATTTGGAAACAAAACAATCATAGCTTTTAAAAAAACCCTCACACAAATGTTTAATATTGCAGTATTTCAGTTATCCATGCAATATCCCAATGTTCGACAAATTGCAGACAGTAGATCCAACCATTTTGATGCTATCTTTGACACTGCACATTTACTGTACAATGCTTAGTGTTTTGTGATGATAAGGTGCTATTTGTGCACCAAGACTTGGTGTGTGTGTATTGTTAACATATAGTATACAGTACAGAAGGGGGAGGGGGGGAAAGAAAAAAAATACCCAGACCTAAAATCAAACTTAAAATCTGGGATGATGTGGGAGAAGAGCACAGGTAGGTAAGAGCTGCTATAACTCAGTGGACTGGAGTAAGTGGCTGCGGGGCCAATGGGTGGGAATTTGATTCCTCACGTGCCTTCTAGGTGAGAGGCCACCTGAGTTCATCTATAGTTTGTGACATTGTTGGAGTTAGGTACCCTGTCAGCTGTGTGACTTTGGTCAAGCCGCAAAGTTCCAGATGGGAAGCGTTATGGAAAGGATTAGGAGAACAGGACTAAAGGCTAGTGCTGCGAATACAAAACAAAACAAAATTACTTTAAATACAATACTGATTTTTTTAAAAAAAAAATTATCCTGTTAAAAAGCAAATAAACATCCACCCTCCCTGTCCCATAAGCATTGTGGATGGATAGTGCTGGTGAGGTTTCTCAACACAGAAAGCCTACACTGTCAAAAAGCACAATCCAGATCTCCTTCTTCCCTTGCTTCTTCCCTTCCTTCTTGCAAACGATGTTCTAATAGGAAAAATTCGCTTCGATGACTGATTCCCTACTTCGGGAACCGATTTTCGCTAGACGACGATTTTCAAACAGCTGATTGGCGGCTCTAAAATGGCCACCCACTGTGCAAAATGGCTCCCCGCTGTGCTTTAGGACGGATTTCTCACTATACAGGCACTGGAAAATGGCCACCTTACGCTTTATGATGAGGTATTTAGCCCATTGGAACGCATTGAAGGGTTTTCAATGCGTTTCAATGGGTTTTTAAAATTCGCTTGATGACAATTTCACTTAACAGCGATTTCGCTGGAATGGATTAACATCGTTAAGCGATGTTACATAGCATTGCAGAGCATGTATTTTCAAAGCTGATTTTGACTTTTTGATACATATTACTTTCTTCATCTTAAGGAAGCTGCTCCAGGCAATCTCTGTTCTGAACTTTATCACATGGCTATGTTCATCCAACCAAATTCCAAGATATTTACTGTTATCCTTCCATGAATGTCTAATTCCTTTTTAAAGTCATACTGATTGGCAACCATCACTTCTTGTGATACTGAATTCCGTAATATGTTATGTGTGATGTCCATTTGTTGTAGAGCTGGAAGATAGCCCAAGAGTCCTTGTGTGATGTCCATTTGTTTGTTTAGAACCCGCATCACTCACAGAATTGTAGAGCTGGAAGATAGCCCAAGAGTCCAACCCCCACTGATGCAAAAAATGCACAGCTAAAGCATACTTGGCAAATAGCCATCTGAATTCTGAAAAGCTCCAACACACAGTCCAATTGCACTTACCTTCATAATACTAGAGTGTACTATTATGAAAGTCTACTTTCTCAACAACATAAATGTATACACCTTTATCATCTCCTCTTATTTACATTATTGAGGCAGGAAGCCTCAAATATTGAAATATCTTGTAAGGGGAGTTGTTTCAGCTCTTGAACATTTGTTTACCCTTTTATACACCTCTTCCAACTCTACTTTATCGGTTTTAATTCATGGTGACAAAACTTTAAATTAAAACCCAAGTGTGATCACACCATTGTATAAAGACATTACAATATTCATAGCTTTATTTTCTAGTCCTTCCCATCTGATTCCAAACATAGATTTTACTTTTCTTATAGAAGCTGTGTTTTCACCAGCCTTCCTACATGAACTGCTGGAGAACTTTCCTTGTAAGTCACTACTAGCTCAGATTCTATCCTACACATATGTGCCATTACACTTTTTTGTTGTCTCTTGATCACAGCTGATAATACAAAGATAATACAAAGGCCATTGATGTCAGTTAGGCAATACATGCATATCAGCTTCTGAAGCAAACTGTTTTATTGAAACTTTTGACAGATATTTGCTACTTGGCAAATTAGACATTAGAAAACTCTGGAATGTTTTAATTCCAGTAAAGAGACACTTGATATGCCATCAAGATAAATTTGGAATAAATGTTGTTTTTTCTATTTTAACTGACATCACGATTTTTCACTGGTAATTCCCATTTCTAAACATCAGCAAAACATGCAGACGGTATTATTCAAATGTTATTGCAACAGTGTTGGTATAATTCATATGATTACCTGGTCAGATGATCTCCTTTGTGTGATCAAGCACTCCTTCCTCTGTACAAGGTATAATGAGCTGCCTACATGTAGCACCCAATCTGTGCAATCCTGTTGTACTTTATTGTACAATGTTCTCTTCAGACAGTGCTTTTTGTAAAATAGGATCCAGTCAGATTGAGATCTAACAAGATAAATTTTCAGAAAGTGTGGTATCTCAACGGGCCCCATGTTTACACCTAAGGGTGTTTCCTCCACAAAACTATACCTGCCTTTCATAGCCTTCCTGCCTGGTTGTCAAGTGTCATCTTCTTGGATTTGTAGGTACCTTTACCTAACTTTGCCAGAGTTCGCTCAGTCCCATCTGAGTTTGATGTGGTTGCAAGTTACTTGTAAGATATCACTAACTGCTGTACTATAGGGATATGGAACTATGACACCTAACCACAAGTGGAGCAAACTCTTTTTGTGTATCTACAATTACTTTGTCAAAAACAGTTCAGAAAAGGGAATGAGTCAGTCATAATTGAAGAAGTGTTAAACCTGGGTCCAAAGGTACTGACTAATTTAACAATCCTTATTTTACGTTTTAATTAACATGCCCACAAGATATGCAGAAGAATTTAAGGTGACAGGAAGACGGATGGGATCAGAACACCAATGCAAAGGTAAAGCACTGAACTGTGTGCATAATCTTGGACCTACTGAAACACGTATAGCTACACAAGAGAATGAAAACAGAAAGTAAAGAGAGCAGGAGTAAATAAAAAGATGCAACTTCCTGATTGGTGATCTGGCAACAAATTTAATGGTAGAAGAGAAGAGTCTCCAGATTAAAACCTATCTAACCTACTGGTGCAATACCAAAAAGGAAGTGCAAGGCAGCTAGAAAAACTGAAAGGAAAACTAGCTTGCAGTGTCTCTCATCTACTAAAACTAGATAAATGTTTCAAAGATGATTACACATCAGCATGATAGTTGGGCTGGCAATCATCCTGCTATGCAGTTAATAGGAAGACAATGGAAAACTATAGCCTGCTAAGGTGTTAGGACTGCAATTATCCATACTAGTACAAGCACACTCTAGTCTTCATTAGACATTTCTTTCAAAGCCCATTTGAGTAAAATAAATATTCTGATGGCTTTGAACAGCCAAGCACTTCTTTTCCTACAAATGTGTCTTTTATTACTGACTGGTAATTTAAAACATGATACAAGATGCTGAACATAAGGGTTCTTTCAAGTGAAAACCTGACTCATCTCTACGCTGGGTTCTGAGATGACACCAGGCTGTAGCAATTGATAAGTGTATTCTCTCAATACAAAAAGCATCATTCCACTCAGATGTCTTAACATCTGATGAAACAACTACATTACAACTAGCAGCATAAAAACATGCAAAATGTTGCACACAAATAAATGTCGATCACTCCTGTATGTTCACTGTTCAACTACAACTTCACACAATGTCTTGGATATTTGAACAAGCCATCAAAATTATAACAGTACAAATATACAATTCCTGTAACTTCACATATTTTCTAAATAGTGCTTTTTAATGGAGTCCATTTATAAGTACATCCGTCAGTCATCACGTCTTTCCATATGCATCTGTGAATTTGTCCAAGTAAAAGCAAAAGTAGGATTTTACAGTACCATCAAAAATGGTAACTATATAGAACTGCAGTTCTAGTCCTTTCATTTGGAAGCAGTGGGCTGACTGATATTTTATTCTGAATAATTCTGGCATTGTGTGAGTGCATCTAAATTTATATCTGCCCTTTAAATCAAGATTGTAGTACACATTTATAAATTACTAGTTTGGTTTGGAGGAGGGAATATAAAAACTGATTCACCACTTTGGTTGCAAACCAGCAACCAGGAAAAAAGCTGAACAAAGGAAACAGAAGACGTGTCCAAGCACAATGCTTATTAGTGTAGCATAAAACTAAAGACTAGCATTAGAACCACACAGGAGGAAGAAAACTGTGGCCCTGTGCCTTTTTGCACTACAATCCAGGAAGACTGTCTATGGTTGGTGGGGCTGGTAAGAGTTGCAATCCAACAGCATCTGGAAGGCTACATATTCCTCAACACTACAAAAAGTTGAGAACATCCACAGAACTTTAAGTACCAGTAACATATACTAACACACTCAACAAAGAGTATGAGTTACAACTGAAGAAATGTGGGTTGGGTAAAGGAGTGGTCAAAATCAGAACAAGTCAGAACAATAATATTTTCAATTTATTATCTTTGCCACAGTACAAATAGTCACAAATCAAACATCCGTTGTCTGTCAAAGTATGTAAACAAGTGCCCACAGTTGTCCCTATCCTAGTTTTAAGATTATGAATGTCTTAAAAAGCCTTTCAAAATCAAGTCTTGATTTTGACTTTTATTCACCTGCATGTGGAATCTTTTCTCAATCTTTTTCTTACCATACATCCTGTGCAATGCATAAAAATCACAGTGAAAGCCCTGGATAATAATGATCTTTTCAGCAGGACCCATTCCATTAGGTTACTAAATACATTTGAGTAAGCATTCTGTGGAGGAGATGAGGTTCCAGCTCCAGAATTCAATAGTTAGAAATGCTAGTCCCTAATAAAAATGACCTTAAAAAACAACAGCAAAACAACCAATATCTTCCATCACTGTCCAAGTCTAGATGTCCACTTGTGAAGATACTTTCCAGTCAGGAAAACAGTAGTGCAATTTAAGTAGTTTACTTTATTTAAAAGTTATTAATGTCCAGTATGCAAATGCCATAGCTTTTGTGGAAAGATAAGAAGATGCTCTGGTAAACAAGAAGAAACTTTGGCAAGCCCATGCTGGCTTACTAGTCCATTAAAGCTTGTGTTAAAGTGTTGTAGGATTTGTTTTTGTTTTTTTGTTTTTAAAAAGTTTTGTATATAAACTAAAAAAAAGCAGAAATAAATAAACCAATTACTTTAAATTGTCTTGAAATTTTAAATTTCTAACAGCTGGCCCAAGTCGACTTTTAAGTCATTTAACCAAAAAGGAAATTGACTTAAGAGGGTTTCCTGCTTTGGCATTGAAGCATGGGAAACCTTGGAAACTACATTCTTAATTTAAAAAATAATGAAACAACAATGAAGTCTAACAATGCCACTTTTAAGCACCTTCTCCCACAGCTTCATTTTGACTTCTTCTTGAAGAGACTTTTTATTTTGGAGGACTTTTTGTATCGCTCCCCATTCTGAGAGAAGTCTTGTGAGGTGCTGCTTATCCGAGGGGCAGCAGAAGGTTCATGAGCAGCTTTGCTTTCACTGCTGGTGGAGGAACATGAGGTGTGACGAGGCTTGGGGATTGGAACCCCACTAGGGAGCTGGTGCATGCTGCAGGACTTCTCTAGAATACCATTGTACACTTTGCTTGCTGGACTAAAGATCATACTCTTAGTTTCTGTCATGCCAACACAGTCAGGAGAACCCCTGGAAATATCAGCGGTTACAGAAGAAGAGTCTCCTGTAGATGACTCTTCTAATGAGAGTTCCTCACGTGATATTTTTTGAGGTGACAAGGGCTGATATATTTCAAGACTTGAAGGAGGAGATTGCTTCCTTCCAACAGAGGAATTGAAGGAGTCACATTCAGAAATGGCATCTTGTGCATCCCTGAACCAAAGACAAGAATAAATGATGAGAAACTTTTATTTACAAAATTTTTAAATCCCCTACAGCATCTTCAGTAGTCAAATGAAATTTCATTCCATCAATAAATTTCCAAAATCAATTTATATAAGAAAAAAACTTTAGACATTCCATCTAAGTATTCAATTCCTAGAAAATGCAAAGACTCCAATGAGTATCAAAAAGGTTAGGGGAATATACATGCAAGCTGAAAACCATAATGAAAAAGAAATCTCATCCTCTACACAGGATGGAATGGCTCTTATAAGGCACTATCTGCTGAAACACATGCCATATAAAGAAAGAGAAGGTGTGGGCTCTATTTCAAAACTTTTTCACACATGCCAAATAAACTGAATTACATAATTAATCAAATAATTTTTTATCATTAAATCAACTAAAATCTTACAAATACATTTGGAAAAAGTATTAAAGTAAGCATGAGGACAGTGAGTATACTGGTCCTCACTCTCTCTATCCTCACTCTTCTCCGAAGGGGGAAGCTTCTACGACATGTTAAGTTTCTCCACATGATCCAGCACTCTACAGTGCTTCCCAATCAGGTGCAGATTCACCCACACATTTAGTGGAAACTCTTCTCTTTAGACTGTCACTCTCAGCATGAGTGTGTGGTGCAGGACTATTGTGGTTCCCTCATCACATGTTGGAATGCCTGAACAATGCTTAAGTAACATTTATCGGACATCATAAACACATATATGAGAAATCTATCCCACTCAACATCTTATGCACATTTTTATCAGGATTATAAATTCTATCCTCCCACCATTTTGCATTAAAAGGTAATTTTACAGGAGACCCACTCTAATTCATCTGAGGTAGTAATGTGCTGTATGCTGGATTCACACAAAAGCTGAGTGAACTCTGCCACAAACCTTTGTCTCTCATTCACACTAAGGCACAGCAACATTTACTGCCAAAAGACTAGACTGACCTCTGCTAATCCAGGTTAAGTCCATAGGGGAAGCACCCAAAACAGCTTCCTCCATTATTTTCATAGCCATACGACTTTATAACCTCAGCATTCATGGTTTCTAAATGGGTATCCTCTGAGGTTATGCTAATTACAGCCACCTTTTTGCAGTAACTCATGAGTCCCTTTGGGAAGGTGTATGGGACCTATTAAGAACAGTCCCTTCTTTATTCTTTCTGCATGCCAAAGGCCACAAGGGCACAAACACACTCCATGGACATGGTGGAGACCCAGCATTCAAAACCACTTCTAACCCAAAGTCTTCCCTGGAATCTATCAATGCTCATACCATTGCTTGTCAGCAGTGAAGTAGATGGCTTCCTCCTCCTCTTCTGTACGATAAGCAGCAGGGCAGCTCGACACTGAAAGGATGTCTGGATCTGCAGAGTGCAAAGTGGCTTGTGCATGTGGAGCATGTTGTGTTTGTGCTGTGTGCTGTGACTGAGGAGATGATGGCACAACATTTCTCCGGGAACGACACATGCTACTGCTCCTTGCTAAGGTGCTAGTTTTTACAATGGACCCTGAGAACAAGAGCACAGAAACATTTTATTCAAAATCAAGCAACCTCTCTGTTACCAACTACATTACTACTTTATTCCATCTCAACAAAAGAATGAGACCCTACTACAACTTCTGAAAATTACATCTGAATAAGCTGTTACACAATCACGAGCAAAAAAGCAACAGAGGTATAGCTCATTTTAATCATGTATAAACTGTATTTCTCCTTTTCAAGGATTAATCTACATTTAAAATTTACCAGTAAATGAAGCATGCAAGGGCACAGTACGTGTGAAACTGACCTCCACTTGATAGAATCTGACAGGAGGATTGGTTAACATTTTAAAGTCTTAGTAGAGAAGGTCAGACGGGAAGTCACAAACTTATATTGCTGGCAGTGACACCTGGCTCAGTTATTTAGCAGGAATCTGTACTGTCTCATTGAACCTAAGTTCAACTTAGAAAGATGTTTAAACAGGCTATAATTTCAAGAAAAATAACAAATGGGTTCAAAATATTAAAAATCACAAAAGTCATTTTAGCATGGGATAACGTAGGCACAAGCTTCAAATTGGAACCCGATTAAAAAATCTTTCTGTTCATGAATGTGGGACATACTGCTTCTACACCCATGATTCAACACTAGGAAATAGCCTGATATTGTTGTGCAATGTTATGGCTGCATTGTCAGAAGGAAAAAGGATGTCAAGCTTTACATAGCAAACGCCAGTCTGAATGTTAATGACACCAATTTCAGTAGTCAAGATGGTTCACTGCAACCATTGTCAACAGGGGCCATCTGGCACATTTGAAGGGTGACTACAGACTGGAATGTGGAGGCGCTGCGGGTTAAACCGCAGAAGCCTCTGTGCTGCAAGGTCAGAAGATCAGCAGTCGTAAGATCAAATCCACAACAGAGTATGCTCCCGTCGCTTCTGCCAGCTCCTGCCAACCTAGCAGTTCGAAAGCATGTAAATGCGAGTAGATAAATAGGTACCACCACGGTGGGAAGGTAACGGCGTTCTGTGTCTAGTCGTGCTGGCCACGTGACCACAGAAACTGTCTATGGACAAACGCTGGCTCTACAGCTTGGAGACGGGGATGAGCACTGAGCCCTAGAGTCGGACACAACTGGACTAAATGTCAAGGGGAACCTTTACGTTTACAGACTGGAAACGAATCTTCACACACCATCTTATAAGGTTCGTTATGTGATTTATACAATCCTGATTCAGACTATTTTTCTTTCATATTGTGTTTATGATCACAGCCAAAAAAAGGTTGAGAAAGACTATAGGATCCCCTCTTGCACTTGCTATCATTCACAAAGAGACAGCACGCAAGATAAAATAACAGAACCTGACTCCTTTTTTCATTAGCTAATCACTTCTTACCCAAACACAAAGCAACTGTCATAGCTGTTTTTCTTAATTTTTTTTAAAAGTATGGCCAATATTCTCTTGTGTAGTAATACTAACACAATTCAAACAAATGTAGCTTCAGAAGTCACTGTAGACATTACTTGTTGCTTCCTAAGTTGCACAATTTAGTGAACAACAGAAAACGTCTATGGTGGTTTCTTAACTTGAAGAGATCTGCCCCCAAAAGCTATGCTATTTGTACTATGTCAGCATAACTACACAAGAAGCTTTTGGCCTCTGTATGCAATTCGCTCCACATAAGCTATGATAACTGGAATAGCCCTAATCAGTTGTTTTCTACACAGTTGTTACTAACAGTCATAGAGAGAAGCAACTCTTTAAGTTAAGAGGTCTTGGAAAATCAGCTCAATGAGGAAGCACTGGCCATCTGGATATCATTCAAGTCCAGATGGAACTGGAAAAAGTTGCATGTACTACTGATACATGTCAGATACAAAACAAATGGAAGTAGAGGAAATGAGAAATAGAGAATCACAGCTGAACATTCTGTTTTTAGAAGAACTGTCACAAAGTGGCACACACATAGTACAAGCAGTTGTCTTGGTTGTGAACAGTGATGTTGCAAGCATTATTTAGTACACAGTATATACGAAGTTCTTACAATCTCAGTCAAAATACTGAGCATGACAGAAGGGCAGTAGGTGGTTGTTGTTGTTGTTTAATCGTTAAGTCGTCTCTGACTCTTTGTGAGCCTATGGACCGAGCATGCCAGGCCCTCCTGCGTTCCACTGCCTCCTGGAGTTGGGTCAAATTCATGTTGGTTGCTTCGGTGACACTGTCCAACCATCTCGTCCTCTGTCATCCCCTTGCCTTCACACTTTCCCAACATCAAGGTCTTTTCCAGGGAGTCTTCTCATGATAGCCAAAGTATTGGAGCCTCAGCTTCAGAATCTATCCTTTCAGTGAGCACTCAGGGTTGATTTCCTTCAAACTGGATAGGTATGTTCTCCTTGCAGTCCAGGGGACTCTCAAGAGTCTCCTCCAGCACCACAATTCAAAAGCATCAATTCTTCGGCGGTCAGCCTTCTCTTCGGTCCAGCTCTCACTTCCATACATTGCTACAGGAAAAACCATAGCTTTGACTATGTGGACCTTTGTCGGCAAGGTGATGTCCCTGCTTTTTAAGATGCCATCTAGGTTTGTCATCGCTTTCCTCCCAAGAAGCAGGTGTCTTTTAATTTCATGGCTGCTGTCACCATCTGCAGTGATCATGGAGACCAAGAAAGTAGGAGTAGGTGGTAGAAAATCAAATTTCAGCAATAAAAACACAGGTCTGTGTGGTGTGACAAACATGACAAATTAATTGCTGACTAATTAGCCTTTGGTGAAGACATCTAGATCAGCTTTGTAAATAAAGTTTTAAGAGTTGATCACCAACCATCTGTACTGAATTCTCCTTCCTTCTTCATCGCATTGGTCACACTGTTCCCAGAGAAAGAGTAAGCAGGGACAGTAAGCGTTCCAATGCTGCTCTTTGGACAGAACACTAATGACCATCTTTATCTTACAAGCAGCTACTGAGACACCAGTCCTGTAGGGAAGGCTCTTTCCTGTACTTTCCAATAAGCAAGCAGAAAATAGCCCTAACTCTTCTTTCACCCTATCTTAAAAGAGGAAAGCTGGAATCCAAAGGCAGCACATATTTCCTTCTTTGATTCTTGAAAGAGGATTATTAGTTTGCAAAATACAGTCTTGAAGATGGGGGAGAGGGGGCTCTTCCTTTTTCCATTCCTTTTCATTTACAAACATTAAAGCATCATTAAGGAAAGCATGTATTCACCAAAACCACAGGTTCATTCTCTCTTCCATGAATACCCTTTATTCTCAAATTCAAAACACTTTCTATTAAATAAATATCTGAGGTTTATTTATCTTTGTAATTTTTATATATCCAGTACCTCTGCTTTGCCAGCCTTCTACAAATCACTCTTAACTTAAATGGTTTTATTTTTCTGTTTCAGTCTGCCAGGCTCTCAACTTTCCCAAAGTCCTGTGTTTCTCCACTTGTCCAATCTCTGATTACATATGCTACAACATACCATGAAACTGAGAAACTATCGGAGGGGTGTCTTCATCGAGGTCATCAACTCCCCCTGCAATTGGATATGGTGGAATGGAGACTCGTGGCATTACCACCCAACTATGATCAGAGTAAAGCGATGAAGTCAGACTTGGTAATCCTGAGTTATGCGCTATCTGGAAGCCACAGATCTTCTCAATCTGTTGCCATCGGTAGAGACGCTCTCTCAAACAAGTAGTTAATTCAGAAAGTGCTTTCCTGAGAAGCAACAGAAAACTCAATTATTATTTAATAAACAAGGCACATTTTCTATCACATATATTTAGCCATGTTAATACGCAAAACACCATGTATTAAAGGAGCTAAATTCTCCCTATGGAGTTAAAAAAACACTTTCAAGTCATGAGCCCACATTAAGTTTTGAATTCTATAACACTACACAAGATTTTGCAATACACACAAAGCCACATACAAAGCTACACAAAATTAACTCTCTTACTTGGCTTCCAGAATCTTATGGTCCACTTCATCAAGAGAAGAGCTGTGTGCGACATGTAATGTCCCAAATACAGTATTTCTCTTCTTCTTGATCTTTTCTGCCTAAAATTAAGGACAAACATGAAGTCAACGCTTATCTAAATAATAAAGTGAATAAAAAAAATATTTTTCAATGTCAATGAGTTATGTTATGAATAATAATATCAACTTAAATTAATAGTGACCCAATCATAGCATCTCTCAAGAGCCACACTGTCTTATCAGAACTTTCAAAACATCTTTATCAAAGTTCCTCTAGCTATGCATAAGTGAGGACAGCTAAGGCATAACCAGAGGTATTCTCAATAGCTACTCCCAAGGAACTGACTCAGCATAGGGGTGTGTGTGTATGTGTGTGTGTTTTGGCACTTTATAACATTTAATTGATTATTGAAAATCATTTATAAACTGCCTTTCAAAACAAGTCTTCCCAAGACAATGTACAAATACTTGTAAAAATAGTACAAATATATATTATATTTAGTGGGATAACGTGATTCTTTTCTGAGAAGTTGGCCATCATCAGCCTCAAGGTGTAGGAGTAAAATGTTTAAAACATTAAACAAATCCCATTCATTTCAATGGGTCTAGTTTAGTTGGGACTAAAACTGGATTAGCTCAGTAATTAACAGCTAGAATACTTAGGAACCAGAGTTAGATAGCAGGAGGTCACCAGAACGGCAGAAAAAGTTCCCCACAACACAGGTAGTTGGAGGTGGAGGTATAACAGCAACACTCCAGAACTATAATGGCAATTTTTGCACAAAATTTAAAATTAGCCCATCTATGAGTGTGTGGTCTCTATAAGCATGCACAGGCTGCCAAGAAAATGCAAATATTCTGAATCAAACCCATGTCCCAGGATCGTAGGATCAGACAAACAAATCAATAAACCATGGCTTTTTTGATGTTTTTCACATTATTAATATAAATGCATATTACCTCATCCTTAGCAATTGCCAACTGCATTTCTGCATTCTGTTTCTTAATATTGTAATACTGTACTTCAACTTCATGAGTCAACTGTAGCCATTTTTGCAGTGCATCAGGAACAGACCAGTTGCTTCTCAGTTCAAATTCCTTCTCAGCCTTTTTTAAAGCCATGCGGACCTAGGGGTAAGGAAAATATGCAAAATCATGGAGACATTGAGCCTTATATATATATAATATAAGCCTTATATATATATAAATAAGCTTTTGCCCATTACAAATATGTAAGTACACCTAGAACAACTAAAGAGTTGCTGAAAATAATTCTGTAATAAAGGTAAAATTTTTACATGATTAATTCAGTAGTGAACCAGAACAGATTTGGAAAACATACACATACACCCAATCAACCACACAAACTTTAAACAAATAGTTACTTTAACTACTTAAAAACACTAATATATTCAGTAGAATACAGACTGTGTTGCCCCTCTAGATTCATTTATTTATACTATGTGTGTGTGCACGTGTGTGTGTCTGACTGTGTGTCTGTGTACATACAAAAGCATGTATCTCCCCCTTATATGTTTATGCACCAGTCAAGAGTAGAGATGGGAATGAACTGCCAAGACGGCAGTTTGTCCTGTTTCGTGATCCATCAAAGTTGATGAACCATGAAGCATGAATCTCTTCCTCTTGAACCAATGAATCATGAATCAATTCATGAATTAATCAGGTTTTTTTTCTAGACAGCCAGAGGATGAAATCTATAACATATTGAAGACACCAGATTGAAGAGGGCTGCCTTGGACAGAAACCTGAAACTTTACATTTTGCTGATGTCTTCCTAACAAGTGTGATTGGCAGTAATGCTTTTGAATTAAAACACTGAAGTATCAAGAGAACTGCTGTTTCATATATCTAGATTACTTTTCTGAAACTGATCATAGTTTGTCCCTGCCAAAACACCTGAAACTTATAATCTTGCTAAAGAAAACCTAGCTGTGTGAAGACAAAGATGCCCTTGTTCTCACAAAATGCACTGTAAAGCAACTCTTCATCCAATGCAACATACAGTGTCTCTGCTGGATCTCCGTATACTTCATGAAGTAGCTGGTGGTACCCAGTATGGTGTAGTGGACCAAGTGATAGACTAGGACTCAAGAAGCCTGAGTTCGAATTCCACCAGGACTTCAAGAACTTTCACCAAAACATCTATATCTCCCTGGAACAATCTATGCAACGGGCAAATTTTCTGGACACCACTGTGAAACTACAACATGGACATCTTAGCACCATATTGTACTGGAAACCCACTGACCGATATACCTACCTGCACTCTTCCACCTTCTAACCTGAACACACAACAAAATCCATCATATACAGCCAAGTCCAAAGATACAATCACATCTGCTCTGACCCACAGGAGAGAGACTCCAAACTCAAGGATCTATAAAATGCATTCCTTAGATTACAATATCCACCCCATGTGATTAAGGAACAGACACATACTCAGAAGTAACTTACTGCAAGACAGCCCCAGAGTACAAATGACAGAACACCGCTAGTTGTCACTTACAGTCCACAACTGAGACCGCTCACCTGCATCTCAAAAGATCTCCAGCCCATCCTTGACAAGAACACCTCACGTCTCCAAAGCCCTTGGTGGGAGACCCATAATGGCCTACAGATAACCCACCAACCTCAAGCAAATAATAACACACAATAGACCACCAAACAGCAACACAGACAGGGGGACTAAATCCTGCCACAGATCCAGATGCCAACTCTGCCCACACATTATTCTGGCAACATAATTGCTGGACCTAACAAAGCCACATACAATATCAAAGGCAGCTTCATTTGCTCCTCAGTTAATGTGATCTATGCTATCTTTTGCCAACAATGCCCCTCTGCACTTTACATAGGACAAACAGGACACTCTCTAAGAAAATGGACAAATGGTAACAAACCTGACATCAGAAACCAGAAACCTATCTCCAGTCATTTCAATTTACCACGGCACTCTGTGGAAGATTTGACAGTCATTATTTTAGAACAGAATCCTTACAGATCGATACAGAGAGAAAGAGCTGAAATAAAAATTTATATGTATGATGGAGACCCATCCAAATGGATTGAATACACGCCTAGGTTTCTTAAGACATTACCAAATTTAATTCTTCTCCTGTTATCCACTGCTGTTTTCTTTACAACTACCAAGCCCGTCTCTCATCACAAGGCTCAAAGGTAAAAATGGTCAATATTCCTTACATTAACACAGAGGACTCCTCTGCCATCTTCTTTCACCCTTATATTTAATATTCTCTTTTCCTTTCTCCCTTGAATTTTATGTGAATCCCCTGTCTTCATCCCCCCCCCTGCACACATACACACTCCTTCTCTCTCCCCCTTCATCTTTGCCCAGGCTTGGTGTCTGTTTCAATATTTCATTCTGTTTCCATATGTCTGATGAAATGGACGTGTCCACGAAAGCTCATGTTAAAATACAACAGTTAAAGTGCCACAGGTTTTTGCCGTTTTGTTTTGTTTTTTAGATTTTTGTTTGTTTGTTTCTTCGGATTTTGCCTGATATGCTTCTACAGACTAACGTGGCTACCTATTCACTTACCTTGACAGCTCTATAAAGGTCATTATAAGTCAGTTTCAACTTGATGGCAAATAATAATGTAAACAAGCTGGAACAGTCTTCACAAATATGGTGTGCAGAAGTACACAAGTACTGTGTAACAGTGAACCATTATGCATATACTGTGTCATTAAAATGTAAAAGTAAACTGAAAACAAACATGTGAATGAAAATTTACAAATACCTGCACAAGCTCCTCTTCTGCATATTTAAGTCTGCTGAGTTCACATTCAGCTCCTTCTCTCAGCTCTCTCAGACGGCATGCTTCCCGCTTGGCATCACTTATTTCATCCATCATCTTGCGCTCTAAGTTCTGCTTTTCTACAGCAACAGTTCGACTCTCCTCTTGTGCTTTCTCAAGCCTTCAAAGTAGACATTTTCCCCATAAATTAATATTATTTTTGGTTGTCCCCATGGCTCTCCTGACTGGACAAATAATTTAAGGTACTCTATGGTGTCTAGTCATGCCAACCACGTGACCATGGAAAGTGTCTATGAACAAATGCTAGCTCCTCAGCTTGCAAAAGGGGATGATTACCAGCACCTAGAGTCAGAAACGACTGGACTTAATTGTCTAGAAGAACCATTACATTTATAGTATCATCATGCGCCTCTCACTATAAAACATTTGGGGAGGTGGAACACTGGAGGGTTACCAGTCTTTTGGCAAATTAACTGAGTTTCACAATTACATTATTAAGGTTCTTCCATTTTTGAAGAATTTCAGAATTTCTTAATCTTGAATACTTCAAGAAATTTTGTGGTATATTAACAGCTAATACTGTAATCTAGAAAGTCTCTATTTATATCACATATCACTTTAACCATATATTTTCTAGATCAGTGGTTCTCAGACTTCGGTCCCCAGATGTTCTTGGACTGCAACTCCCAGAAATCCTGTCAGCACAGCACGTGGTGCAGGCTTTTGAGAATTGCAGTTCAAGAACATCTGGGGACCCCAGTTTGAGAACCACTGCTCTAGATGACTCATACAAGTCACTAATCCCAGTTTTAGCGATCTGAAATATGAGTACTGTATATCACCCACCTAAAGATACTGAAGACGCAAATGCTTTATATAAACCCTATTTTTCTTCACATACCGTTCTTGCAATTCACACAGGCTCTGTTCTGCTGTCTGAAGGCTTTCCAAGTCTTTCATCATTTTTGTGATATGCTCTTTTGATGTTTTGTTTTGAGTATATGCAAACCAGCAGCCTCCAACACCAATCACAATAGAAATTGTAAGTATGAAATCTTTCATCCAGTTGTGATGTGGACCTGAAAAATGCAGTTACATCCAAATTGAGCACACAGAGGAACTTAGATACGGAGCACATTGAGAGGATTTGGAAATAACACTACATCATATTTCAGCAGCACCAACTTTCAGTCTTGTGTAATCTGTTCCTTTCCGCTGCTGCAGCCATGAGAGGAGTCAGTAGACTTTTCCTGCAGTTTTACATTAATTACAGCCTACCATGCTACCTGAATACAGTGGTGCCTTGACTTACGACTATCCCTACTTACGACCATTTCGAGTTATGACCAGCTCTGGCTGCAAAATTTTGCTTCAACTTGTGGCCGGAGCTTCCAGTTACAAGCACAAAAAGGCAGGGGGAAAAGGCGGGAAATTCAAATTTCTAACTGTTGGTGGTGACAAGGCTGCTTCTTTGTAGCTTTTCACCCCAGCAGTTAGAGAGTGTGCGGTACGGAGGAGGCTGCCTGGTAAGGTAAGGTGCTGTTTCCTGCTTTTTAAAACTGTTCTGGGTGGGTTTTGCAGTGTTATTTTGGGTTGGGGGCTCATGTTTCTGTGCTGTGTTGTTTTGTGTGTGTGTGTGTGTGTGTGTGTGTGTGTGTGTGTGTTCTTGTTCTTTTGCAGCCCCAGCACCATGCAATAGGGCTTGCTTTATTATTATTTTTTTAAAAGCCCCAGTGATGGATCTTGCTTTGCTGTTTATTTTTGGTGGTTTTTTGTTTTTTAAAAAGTCCCAGCAATGGAGCTTGCTTTGCTGTTTATTTTTGGTTTGTTTTTTTTATAGCCCCAGCAACGGAGCGTGCTTTGCTGTTTTTTTTTTTTAAGCCCCACACCTTCCGACCAGGCTTGCTGTGTGCTTTATATATTTTTTTGTTATTATTTTTTCCCCGAAACGGATTAATCGCGTTCCAATGCATTTCAATGAGAAATGGTGCTTCGACTTACAACCATTTCGAGTTACGTCCATCTTCTGGAATGGATTATGGTCGTAAGTCGAGGCACCACTGTATACAAAAAGGTATGGTTAGTCCTAATTGTCGTTACTGAAAGCAACTCAACTTCAAACCATCATTTATAAAGATTGTAAACATAAAAACTTCTGAAGACTTCAATGGCTACACTGGAGTAGTGACAAGCCCACAAGCCCAACCAAATAATATTGATCCATGGTTCAGCATCACATCTGAATGTAGTTCTCATTTTATGCTGCTGCTGCTGCTGCTGCTGCTGCTGCTGTTGTTGTTGTTGTTGCTGCTGCTGCTGCTGCTGCTGCTACTGCTACTACTACTACTACTACTACTACTACTACTACTACGCCATCAAGGCAATTCCGTTTTGTGGTAACCCTTTCCCAGCTTTACCATTCCTTTCTTATGGGATATCCTGCACTGTGCAGCTTGCCAATTGACTACACAGTCTGGCTCTCTTCTTATGATGCATAGTCGGGAATCAAACTCCCAACCTCTGGCTCTGCAGCCAGATACCTAAACAACTGAGCTATCTAGCCAGCTAATAAATTAAAAGTGATCATGATTAATTATATGCCATCCAATCAATTTTACTTTATAGAAACCCCTCCCAGAACTCTTTACCAGTCCTTCCTTCTGGGCGCACTCAGAGCAGCTTAGATTGGCTCTTCTCTTGGGAAGCAGATTAGGGAATTAAACTTGCAAACCCTGACTCCTTAAGCCAGGTGTTCCAACATACTGAGCTATCCAGCCAGCTATTTTCACTTAATTGTTATGAAAATCCATTTTTCTGACACTAAGTTTCTATGTAAAGAACTTTATTTCACACAGATTTGTTACTAAATCACAATTTTTCTTATTTAAGAAAAAAACAGTATACTGTACTAAGTGAACAATATGGACACAGATGTCAAAATTCATCTCAGGCCACACAACATTAGCCTGAAGAAGTCTAAATCTACTGTTGATACAGCAGTTATCAGGATTCACCTTACTGCTTCTTTCATGGAGAGATATGGATCTAACTGAATGTAAGGGAAAATGCACTAAAATCTGTGGCCAGTATTCAAAGGATCAGGCAGGCAAAGCCATGTTTTAGAAGACAAACCCAAATAAACAAATGGAAAACCAATTCTGAAATTGAAAGGAATCACAAGAGAAGTTGGTAGTCAATTATTTCACCTGTTGTTCAAGCAGGAGCAAAAATGAGCCCTTCCTCGACAAGCTATTATAATTATACTTAGTATATTTTTGAAAGACAAGTAACTAAAGATAAAAAACCAACTTTTTAAAAAGCTCTCATGCTTGACTATTTTGAAGTAACTCACACTTACCACACATTAGTCATTTATGCATGCTATCATGGAAATCTACTTGAAATCCAAGCCACAGATCCAAAAACCTTAATTAGGGTAGGTGTATGAGCCCTTTAGTTGACCTGAATTAGGTTTCTTCTTCCTTGCCTTGGAGTCCAAGTAGAGTTCTCCATTGGTATGTACAAATATAACATGGGCTTGGCTTCAACAGTTGTTATTCAACTGTTTAATAATTCCAGATGGTTTAGATGGAATGGAGTGTGAACCTTACACAGTCACATAGAAAAAGACTGTAGAGGGAATTTATTGCCATTATAGCCAGTAATTTAAGGTCTTCTATTCTGGTCTCAGAAGGAAGCAGGATGTTGATGTAGCTTTCAGGTCTGGTCCCACTGCCTTGTATTTGGAGAAAGAATCTTTCATAAGGAGAAACACTGAATAATACCACAATACCATGCATTGCTAACTGGTATCTTCTCAGCGGAATGTGTTGGTCTAAATAAAAGGTGAGCATAGTTTAGCAGAAAAATGTCTTCTGAAAGTGGCTAAAAGGTGTGTGTAAGAGTGGGAGTATATAGCAATTTTACTTACGTGTAATGGGTCCAAATAAAACAACATCCAAAGCCTTTAGCTGAAGTTTCTGCCTGTGACTCCGATCAATGATTTTCAGTTGAGAGATCATAAATGCTGGTTCGTTGACTGCTATCCTGTACGCAATGAAATAAGAGATTTTAAAGCAAAAATTCAGGACTAATTACTCTTTAATTTTCAGTCCTGCTGGGCGGGGCTCCGCCTCTCACACATGCAACTTTGTCCCTGCGTGGGTGCGCAACTACACCCCCCCGCACGCTGGGTTCCATTGCAACCAGAGCCTAACACGATTGCTGCGCAGAGGAGGAAGATAGCTGCATGCAAGAGAGGCAGAGTTGCGCGTGCCCAGCTTGGCACAAACCTTGTGCAGAACACAACAAAAATGCACATTTTGCTTTATGCAGTAATTCCAACATCGCACACTGAAATAGTCAGCATGTTTTTTCCTCTTATCAATTACAGTGATTATATTGTGCATGTTAAAATCGAGATGGCAGAGCATAATGTACCAATCTAATGCCATATCAAGTTAAACAAAGATGTTCTCCTATGCCAAACTGATCATGAACTTCAGAAGTTTCGTATTTTACTATTTCTCTGGATTTGTATCTGGAGAAAATGTTTTCATAATAAATATATAGCTGCAGTGATTCACTTTGAGCCCAATGGTAACAACTAGGATATAATCAAGTGCTTCTATTCAATAGAAGGGACTGTTTTGCTATTACAGTATAAAAGAATGTCTACAGTCTTAAAGTATAAGTTGGAAAAGGTTTCAAATGACAATTGTACTGCCATTTCATTATCAAAGTACTATTGCACCATGTCTATGGAACAAATGTTTATTTTAATTTGGATTAAAATATTTCACAGCATGCTCTGCACAAGCTATAAACACAATAAAGCACATTTCAAGACAAAAGAAAAATGTATCATCTAAGTATGTTACAAAGTCCACATTTTGCTCTTCTCTGAAAGTAATGTTTCAAAACTTGAGATAAAAAGGCACAACATGGATTGAAATTCTTCAGGGTTGGAAAAAACCACCTTGGCAATGTAGTTCCTTTGACATTATTTTCTCTGAAATTCTTCTCATACTGAGGAAGTTCCACAAATTCTATCAACCACTGAAGAGTCTCCTCTAGAGTCCAGTTGTGAACTGTAACACAAATGCACAAATATTGTTTTACACACTGGATTTCCAAGCATTAAATCAATAACACAAATAGTAAGTTACTGGCAAGTTCTACATATTCATCATGTGCTCATCAACGTGAAGATTACAGAAAGATTATAAACAAATAATTCTTTAAAATATTCCTTTATTAAAAATTCCATGGCATAACTGGGAAAAAAAGTTTATGACCAATAAAAGCGTACATAGAGTTCTTGATCCTGTTATCCCTCATCCCTTAGTGCAGAACTTAGCATAAACAAACAAGAGCAGTGCCATTTAAACTAGTAACAGAAGTGAGATCTTGACTCTCATTTGATGGAAGTCAGTGCAATTACTTCATATGTTTCTGCTATTTATACCTGAGGAGGCGCAAAAGGAAAGTTAGCTGGTCAAGGAAAAAACACATGAAAGAAGGCAATATACTAATACTGGAATATGTAACTATGACAATAAACACAGCCAATATAATATATCTGTCAGTCGGGTAAGGAGCCTCATGGCGCAGTGGTTAAATTGCTGTACTGAAGCCAAAACTGTATTAACGGCCCAGGGTTCAATCCCAGGTAGCCAGTTCAAGGTTCACTCAAGCTTCCATCTTTCCAGGGTTGGTAAAATGAGTACCCAGCTCGTGGGGAGGGGAGGGGAGGGGGCACAATATGTAGTCTGCATAATTATCTTGTAAACCATCAAGTGTTTTAAGCACTATGGGGTGATGCATAAGCAGCACACTTTTTAATAGCTTAAACAAAATAACCAAAACGATCCTTGTTGAAAAGTTAAAGAGTTCTTCATATTCAGAAGCAGTGATTATTAATGCAGAAATGAGCAACTTGGATGACATAACATTCTGTATGTTCAAGACAACAAAAAAGCACAATATTGTAAATATAGAAGGAAGCATAAACTTCCTCAGCTGACAGCTTTAGGAATTACATGACACTCTCACTGCAAGCCAATAACATTCTCACCATGATACAAAGAGCTCTTTTGGCATGCGAAAATGTTTCCTTCCACGAAGTTGAGTTTGGATTTCCTCTTCTTTGTGAACAAGCCCTTACATAAGGGCTTATTAAGAAGTGCGCTCTCTCTCTCTCTCTCTCTCTCTCTCTCTCTCTCTCTCTCTCTCTCTCTCTCTCTCTCTCTCTCTCTCTCTCTCTCTCTCTCTCTCTCTCTCTCTCTCTCTCTCTCTCTCTCTCTCTCTCTCTCTCTCTCTCTCTCTCTCTCTCTCTCTGTGTGTGTGTGTGTGTGAGAGAGAGAGAGAGAGAGAGAGGCATACTGCAATAAAGCAATTTAATACACGGAACTCACTGAACAGGCTATTGGATCCTAATATGAATCCTCATGTTCTAAAAAATACACTTGCAAACTATTACACACAGTATACATAATATTGAAGCATATTCAAAATGTCTATCTGAACGCTTTTATTTTATAATTTGGGTATGGAATTTGTTCTAGCCTACAGACCAAATTCAAGAAGTTGTTAGAGGCTCCCTTTCAGTTAAGGCAGGAAAAGGAAAAAGGAGGAGAGCAAAAATACCCACACTACTATTAGTACTACTACTTCTTTATATTTATACCCCAGCTTTACAATAAAGATAACGCTCAAGATGGTTTACAGCTATGGGGATGATTTCTGTGGCATGTCATTTTTTTCCTGCAACATATGTTTGAGTCTATGGGAGGGTTTGAATATATTTATGAATAATCTAATGAGAAAGACCAGATTACTCATAAACATGTTTGTACTTGCTTACAGGTTCAAATGTAGGTTGCAGAGAAAATGTGAAATGTCACAGAAATCATTGCCCCACCAAAGAAATAAGAGCAGATAGAACCATAATAAAATCATAAACTCACTCCACCATAAAACTGAAAAAATGAAGCAAAGTACATTAAAAACCCATTAAAATTACAAAGGATACAGATTAAAAACAAGATAGCAGGGTAGGTTAAACATCAAATGCAGTCTAAAAAGAAAGAAACTTAATTTGGCGGCGGACGAAATTGGCAACTATAGGCCCGTCGCCAATGTTTCTTTCTTAAGCAAAGTGGTTGAGAGGATGGTGGCCGACCAGCTCCAGGCGTACTTGAACGAAACAGAGGCCCTGGATCCATTTTAGTCGGGCTTCAGGCTGTGCCATGGTACAGAAACAGCATTGGTCGCCCTGTGTGATGACCTGTTGAGGGAGGCTGACAGGGGCAAAGTGTCTCTGCTGGTCCTCCTCGACATCTCAACGGCCTTTGATACCATTGACCACGGTATCCTCCTGGGGAGGCTCTCTGAGTTGGGAATCGGGGGCCTTGCACTGGCCTGGCTCCGTTCCTTCTTGGAGGACCGTCCCCAGAGAGTACAGCTTGGGGAGAGCGCCTCGGCCCCGTGGAGTCTCAATTGTGGGGTTCCACAGGGATCGATTATCTCCCCAATGCTGTTCAACATCTATATGAGGCCGCTGGGTGAGGTCATCAGGGGGTCATCAGGGGGTGTGGAGCCTTGTGTCATCAGTATGCTGATGACACTCAGCTCTACATCTCCTTTTCACCAACTGCAGGAGATGCCGTCCTGTCCCTTCAGCGCTGCCTGGGGACTGTACTGCAATGGATGCAGGAGAACGGGCTGAGGCTGAACCCGGACAAGAC